AATGGAATTCTGGTATTACAGCTTATCTTTGAGCTCAGAAGCCTGATGCTCAATACCGAGTTTTGATATGTTTTTGTGCGATCCTAGGACACAACTGTCTGCATGATAAAATAACTTTGATTAAATAAGCTGCTATAACGGCAACATTCTTATGAGTTGTTTTAATTTTCAGCAAAGAATAAGCCAAATTTGCCATGACATATCTACTTACTGAAAACTCTAGCCACTCAATTAAACCAGATAAAGGATTCCTTTGAAATTTCTCAGAGGACTTCATTGTCATTTGTGTGCCATTAAGCATAATAGAAGTATTTCACATAAACCAAATTAATTTTGCAATTCTCTTTGCAGACATTAAAAAATTCAATAGTTTAGTCCAAACTGGCCCTTCTTCATTAGGACATGTCTTTTATGGTTAATGCACTGTGTATTTTGAAAAATAGTTCCCAGAAAGATATTTTGTAAGCCATGGAGAAGTAACATATAAACCACATGTCATTTCACTCCTTTTGTGATATTTTGATATGTCATCTTTACTATATGTTCAAAAAAACCAAATTTCAGTAGACTTTTCTCTGTCTTACAATGTGCTATCCTACAAGTACCAAAGGGGTACTGTTGGCAGCAGGGAGGGTGGCACAAAAATTTAAAATTGTTTGGCTGTTGCAGTATAGTGACTGTAATACACTGAAATAACTCAACATTGTTTTAACTGCTTGACACCAGTAAGTGAAAACACATGCAGAGTTTAACCTCTGGTTAGGAAGAAGTATTACATAACAGCATAGCCAGCAAATTTAGCTATGAATAAAATTAGCCTATTCCTTTCACAAATGTCAATGGTAAATTTGGAAATACACTGTAGATACAGTGTTCACACTCAAAGAGATGTCAGTTATAATTACCATAAATACAAATCTTATCTAATACTTATCTACAATATTTTCTAACATTCGTGTATACTTACCAAACAAAAAAGGCCACAACTTAGAGTAAAACTATTATTTTTCCAACTTATCCCCACAGTTGACAACTGTGGAAACAAGGAAGTTTTGGATCTGGTTTTCCCTGCATGAGTCTGTAGAAGGCTCTTTCATATGGTCCCACGAGAAATGTCAACTCTGTAGTCTTTTTTCTCTAAGAAAGCAGCAACCAAGAGGAAGGTGAATTAAAGTTTCCTGAGCCCTTCCTGGAAAGCAGAACAGGAGAGGCCTGAATCCTGGAAAGCAGAACAAGGATGGGACTGAATTCCAATCTACCTGATGACTAATTCAAATAGTAGGAAAACCACCGAGGTTGGAAAAAAGGCGGGGGGGAGATGTGCACAGAAACAAAACAGAAAAAAACATTGAGACTTTTCTTTTTAAAACCTTCATACAACTGTAAGTTTATAAGAAGGGATCAACCCCAAAGAAAAATAGAACATGAAGATACACAAAAACTACCAGAAACAGAGATTATAGTGAAAAAGTGGATTTCTATGCACATCTGTGTTGTAATTGGAAAGTCAACTCGCAAAATCAAAACCATGAAATACTGTTTTACCAAACACTAAGAACTTGTTCCACAACTGTTGCCTTCAACAACATTTGTATCAAGTCCAGCTGGAAAGATGCCAGTGAAACATGGTTTACAAGGCAGTAAAATCTTGTGGATTATGTCCTGTAACTTGTTTATTCTTGGTTATGTGGCTCTGCTTTTTCACCTCCCTCTCATATTTAGGATGCTCTACTTACCCATTCTTTCTCTAAAGACAAGACTTTTTGTCTGTACTCAATCCCTGCCTAGAGAGATGATGCTGCATTCTTCAGGGATGGAATGTTTCAGCAATGCAATACCATAAAAATTAGAGAAAGTATGACAAGTTATAATTCTGACACCTATACATTGCAACTGTTTCCACCCATGATTAAAATATTTCAAGTACAACAGTGCTGAGCTGGAGAATTATGTGGTGGATGGCACTGGCATAGTGGCATAAGGGAATAGACAAAAATAAGCGGAAAATGTCCAAGTCTCTCTTCTTTATGATGAAAAAGAAAGCTTTAGAAACTGAACATAGTTGAAGGGACAGTAGCCCAAATACTCGATAACAGATGACTCCTGATCATACCACCATCACCTGCCCTGCTGTTCTGTGACCCCTCACATAGTTTCTGTGGGCACTAGCTACAGAATTTTCTTAGTAGCTGATCCCTCAAACAGAAACTCATGCAACACAAACATAATTGTACAAAAGGCATTGCCTCCACAGTAAAACACATTACCCACCAACCTTCCCTTTCCAATCGCATCACCTTAATGTAGAAAGAGTCTGAATTATGACACAGCTTATAACTGCCTTTTCGCTTGTCATTTCCGACAGCAAATGTGACAAAGAACTGCAAGAGAAAGGATGTTCACCTGTACTGAGGGCACTACACTAGGACCAGATATAAGTAGAAGCCTATTTTCTATACAGGCAAGACTATTATAATGCAGGATACAAAGAAGTAGCACAAAGCTTCCACTGGAAATTTTAACTGGTATTTTGCTGATTTGGACTAATTGAGTCATATTGGTAGTGTATCCAAATTATTCCTCCAACAATGCCTTAATTTTTGAACTAAAAATAATTAAAGAAAGAATCTGATAATAAAGAACACTCTTTTGAGAACAGCAATGACATTTTCTTTGTCATTCTAATCAAGCACACAGTTGTGGAGGTAAAAGTATAAAAGTATACAGGAAAAGGGAGTCATGTGTGTTGCAAGCTCCTGAACAGCATATTTGCACAAAATCTCTCAAATAGCTCTGGAAGTCACTGACATCCAAAGGGTACACTGGCGCTGTTCGTTTGCAGCTGCAGGAGGCAAGATGATCTTTTCACCTTGTATCACTAAAAGAAAATCCAAGTCCACAAGAGTGAGCATCACTGTGTTTCACCTCCTAGAGAGAAGACTTGAGCACTAAAATTCCAAAGTGGTAGCAAGAATGGCAAGATTTACATTAAGAACCTGTTCATAGGAGTACCTGTGCCACTGAGTAAAAAGGGTTTGGCTAGACTGTTCTCCCTCGAGTTATGAAGTTGATTCCACTGCTCCCCATAGAGCAGGAGTGACTCTGGGGCCTCAGTTATGTAGTTTGTGACTTGAAGAGTTCAGGAATTCACTGGAATTTAAGCTTGCTTAGCAGGGCAGAGTAGCCCTCTTAATAGAATGCTACCACTACGTAGCCTCATTTTAAAAATACTTTAAGATCAAAATATATTCTTTGCTTATGAAAAAAATCTGTACTCCCTGTCAAACAAGAGTGTTTTAGGAAAAAGACAAACCTTTGAACATTTCCAAGTAACAGCTAGGTGTTAATACACTTGTTTCTTAAATACAGTTAATGTAAATAATAACTTGAGAGGCAGCTGCAAACAGAAGAATTAGACTGATGTTTCAACACTGCAATGGGGGAATCTTTAAAGAGTCATTTTAATGAAAAGAAATAAAGTTTCCACCTGCAGCTTTATGCATTTGGCAAACAGAACTTCACTTCTGCAATGTTATTTTAGGACAGGAAAAAATGCATCCCAGAGTTAATCTCCCACTGACTGCAGTGCATCAGTAGCTTTGTTTGAAAGTCACAGTTAACATAAATTTACAGCCACTATTTTATGGTAATGAGCAGAAAGTCCAGTGAAACCATTTGAAAAGACAAGCACTAGAAAAGTTCCTTCCCTCAAAGTAGGTAATACATACAAGGTTCTTCTCTGTTCAACATAATCCTCCCCTGTGAAAACTGCTACAACAGTTTACTTATAGATTGCTTTTTTGATAAAACTAAGGTTTTATAGTCTGTTTGACTTGAACAACAACTGCATCTGTTACTTACAGACTACACATTGCTCCGCTATCAGCAGTATGCAGAAAACTCCACATTGTCTTCAGAAGATGAGCTTAAAAGAAAGCCACTTCCAAAATATTATCACAGGGGGCGGGGAGGAATCTTTAAAAGAAGTCTCTTGGGGAGGGGTGGGGGGTGAAAAATCACCTCTTCTCCCCAGAACTTTTAGGTTCCCCATCTGTGAAACAGTATCCTAGGAAACCCTCAAAGTGTTGAATTCATAATAAATGTTTTCATAAGGAGCTAAATCACAGCTTCCTTTCTAAATGTTACTGGTTGCAGGAGTCTGCAGATGTAAAATGCATTACAAAGTGCAGTGGACTCAGGCAAGCACTTCTACAAAGTCAGAGCAATATGTGCAGTACAGAAACAGTTGTGAAAATGCTCTTTTAATGCCAAAGTGCTACAAAGTGTTTTATGATCTAGATATAGAAATATTATTTTCATTTTATGCTATGACTGTTCTTCCTGCAGTAATAAAATACTAGTAAAATGCCAATGTTACATGGGTCATAATAGCAAGGAGGAGATCCCTGCCAGCTTTGCAAATCTACTATACTTCCAGACTCCAGGAGAAAGGAATAGTTAAAAAATAGTCACACAGGTCTGAAGGGTTTTTTTCCTTCTTGTGGAAATTTTAATAAATCATATTTCTCCCCCTCAAAATGCATACAACCTGACCTACAAAAGTAAATTCCTTTTGAATTGTTAAGGATGGATATAAAGGGAAAGCATAAAAGTTCTTTCAAGACAGAACTGAAATCTTCCACTAACAACACAGGGTGCTTCTAAGGCACATTTTCTTTAAGATCATAAATCACAAACCTTCACAGTGCTGTCTAAATCATTATAAAATCACTAAATACAGTTACTTTGTTTCATGGTACTTCTCACTAGTCACAAGATACCATGAAAATATCTGAGCTTGTTTTACTCAAGATCTTTAAAGTTACTCTCTTGTACCTGGACCTTGCTCTGTTAACTGATCTTTCATCTTTTCTATTACCTATAATCATTCCTAACATGTTGAAAGCAAATTTCCATGGCAAAACACAAGCATTAGAAAACAAAAAAGCCCCGCAACAGAAAAACAAACAAAAACCCAGAAAGTTGTCATAGCTACTTGCCTCTTGGCAATTTCTGAGCATTTCCCAGGTTTAGTGCAATAAATCCACAGAAAAGCAGAAAGACCAATCTTGACATCATGGTCACAAACCCAACCTCGTACTGAGAATGATTCTGACAGGTATCACACAAAAGAACTGCAGCTGCATTTAAGTGAACTGTTCTCTCTGTGACAAGAGGCAGCAACACTTTGACACAAGCTTAGTTTACACAGTGGGAGGAGACAGGATGACATCATTCACTCCCACTGGAAAAGGAGAATTAGCATTAAAAAAAAATAATAAAATTATCAGGCTCCCTCCACGATATTTTTTTTCTGAGGTTTATTACAAGGTCTTCCCACCACTCAGGATAAGAGATTACTCTCTGGTCGCTTAAATTTCATGCAAATAAAACCAGGAATATCAAAACTCCTGTTAACTGAAAACTGATCTGAGAGACATTTTCACTGTTTTATCCAATAAAGCTGGACTTAAAATGCAAAAATAACATTTACAGTACTCAGAAAAATGTGTGCTCTATTGCAAAAATGCCGAGTTCAATCTCAAGATTTTGCTTAAGATTAATTTGAACTAGTTATGGCTTTCATCCAGGTAGCTCGTAATAAACAGGTGTGATAAGTATTTATTCAGCAAGAGATCTGTTTTTGAAAAAACTAAATGTCATTTTCCCACTTGCATCTGATTTTGGAAATTTAAAAATATTTTATATTTTCCCCTTTCATACAATGAGTCAATGGGCACAGTGCACATTGAAAGCAAAAAGCCAATGTACCTCCTTTCAGGGGCCAGATCCTCTCACCAGTTACATAACTGTAAATGAAAAAGAAATTCCATTATTCCATTAAAAGCTGTTTCACTTAATGTTTACAAGTTGACTAGGCACAGAATTTGGTCCTACTCACATTTGAGGTGGGAAGGAAAGTATGAAGCAGAAGGAAAAGGTTACAACTGAATAAGGAAGAATTTAGCCTCAGTATCTGGAAAACATCCCCAAAGAGATTATACCTATTCAACTAAGTAGTGACATCTCTATCTCCCCAAAATAAACCCCAAGCCAAAAAATAAAAAACCAAAATAACAACAAAAAAAAACAAACAAAACCCCCAAACAGGTCCCCAAAAAGAAAAAAAAAAACCACCCATCAACAATCAAAACCAAACATATCCACTACTTCCAATATGTAAAGCTCTTCAGTATGTTCAGTCCGTTCCCACTCCCCACTTGCTTGGACCTGACATCATCCTACTTTCATACAATGTTCTACAATCAGAGAAAAATCACAGCATTGGTGTCTGGCCTGAGTAGAAATAAAGTAGTTTAAGATAAAAGGGTAATATGTTAAAGCATACAGAAGCATTTCATAAAAAACAGATTAGTATTGTATTTGAAAGTCCCCATGTACTCCATACTTCAGGAAGAACTTCAAAGTAGAAGCTAACAGTAATGGTCCTAGAGGCAAAACCAAGGAATTTCAAACTCTTCTAATAAGTATGGACAGCACACAGCTTTAACAAAACCAGTTTGACAATGGTAGTGTTTTCCAGTCTGATCACACCCTCTTAATTCTGACATAAGGAAACCTTTTTCTGATTCACTAACTCAAATCTGGGAATAGCAAGTTGGAATTTAATATTATAGACAGACCCCAAAAAAGCCCCAAGCAGTATTACCACAAGGATCTTTGTGAGGATTCAGATCCTGAATATGAACACTATGAACAGCTAAATGCAACAGGTATAATTTGGATGAGATGAAAAGAAGTTTAAAAGGCCATACAGTTGGAAAGAAGTCTCCCAAAACACTCAACATACCTGATGTCAAAAGAGTTTCAAATGACAGGAAGCTAGACACACAGAGCAGACGTGTCTTTTTTTTTTTTTTTTCTGGTTGAAGTTCTACTTTCAAAAATGCTCCAGAAAGCACGTTCTATTTTTCCCTCTTTAAAATTAAAAATAAGAAATCAGTCATTTGATGGAATAGTCTCTTAGGAGAATTAATGGGAAAAATTAATTCTTGATCACACACAGCTGCCTTTGTATTACTGTAAAGTGGATTCTACTGGTTCTATCTTACAGGACATTCACTCTCCTTTTGAAGACCACACAACACCTTTCTACAAAAGATACAAAGGCCAACTTCTAATCAGAAAAATCTCAGTGAAATGTATTAGTTATTTGGCTACCTAAGCAAATGAATTTTATCCTCTCTCTGAGACAAATATACTCCCATTCCTGCTCTCACAACCACTGGCTTCTCTGCTGCCAGTTACATCTTTCCTCTTTCTTCTGTGCATTGTCCAAACAGTTCTCTGTTTGGTATGCCATAGAGACATTTCATCTTCCCCTTGAAACCCTGGCAAACTCTCCAGGTCCCTTTCCCTCTGATCATTCCAGCAGAAAACAGCTCTTCTCAACCCAGAGTTCAAAAATGAATGTCACGATGCATTTCCTTCTGTCCTACCAAGCATATGCTTCATCAGGGGCAATTATGATTCAATAATCAGGTGCAAGAGTAAATTTCTGCCAATTATATGCCAGGAGTTCAAAAATCACGTAAAAAAAAGTAATGTCATATTCTCTTACACTTTTCCAATGTGATCCCCACATCTGCATCATCTATGTGATCAGTGATTTTGTCCACTTATTTTCTTACAGGACTGACATTTCCTAGGAAACCTCTGTTATACAAAAAATTAAATCCATAGCAGCTTCTGCTTTCCTTTTTGCTAAATCCTTCCACTGTTCACTGGATGCCAACTACTGCAGTGAAACACCAAACATGGGCACAGAAACAAGTTCCTGGGACCTCAAGCACTATCCTGCACTACTGGATGCTTCCGTAATGCTGTTCAGGTATCAGATTTCTCCTCTTGTTGGAGGGCTGCTCCACAATCTCCATTTAAACAGAGACAGCATCTGGTTTCAGTTCACAGAAATAAAAACTGTATGTCACACTTCACACTAAAAATTATCTAACCCAGAAGTTCTTCAGGTTTCTCTCATCCACACAAACCTGAAATTATATTATCCATCCCTTGACCCCTCAGAAAGAAAAGATTAAACAAAGAAGATTCAGCTAACAAGTTTTGTTTTATTATACCTTTAGCATAAAAGGCAAGAAAAACAAGGTAAGTGCAGTTATGAAAAGTCTCAAACAGATCAAATTTGTTCAGGAAAATTCAAAAGCTCGGATCCCCTAATGACTCCTCCTCTTCAGCACCAAATTAATACTTAAGTAGCAAAGTCAAGTACTCAGAAGTTTACTTGCTTACCTCAACTTTAACTGAGTCTCTCTGGGGTAGATCTCAAAAACAGAGATTCCAACAAGATGGTATCACAGCTAGTCTGGGAGCAGAACAGAGCTTTTCTGGTTCTGTTTTAATAGTTCCCAGACCAGCAAGTACAGTGAAAACAAGAATAGAGGAAGGAAAAGAAAAAGGTGGGGGGAAGAAGGGGGGGAGAGCAGGAGACAGGATTTTATATTTTGTTTCCAAATACGAATACGCTTTTGTTGAGATTTGGGCTCAGTTCCAATTCACCTATCATTCCTGATTATTTTGACAAGCAAAAGCCAAGGTGACTCAACTCCTTACTGTTCTAATTTAAAGCAGGAAGAGTGTATAAAGCATAACCTGAAAAAAAAACAAAATCCTATCTTCACTCTGAAAAGCACAATAATGCCATACTGAGCTCTCTAAGAGTAAGGACTTAGTTGCAGTACACTTAGTCTCTTTTTTCACAGCACTGCTGGTTGGTACTGTACCTTTCACCAGTGCTTCCAATTATTTGAGAAGCACCTTTGCCATAAAATATGCTATATAAATGTTAATTATAATTATAATTCTCTTTTGTGTGACTCAATTATTGGACTCTTTTCCTTGTAAATGTCACGGGATCTCCTCTGAAGGCCTTCAGGAAAAGATTGATGCCAAAGAACATTTTTTCAGATGTGTTGCTTAAAAAAGAAAAAAGGAAAAAAAAACAAAAAACAAAACGGAAATGTTAACTCTACTTTCTGAGAGCCTGCAAATACTTCTTTCCTAGTCCCCCATTCTTACTTTGATGAGCAAACATTTGAACTCTCATGCTATCAAAAATACATGCTAATCTATTAGTCAAGTTAAGACATATCTCATTTGATAGCATAAAAATAACAGACAGTGTCACTGCATTCTAGTATCCTGATCACAAACTGAGTTCCAGATCTCCAAATTAATGGGATTGGAGACAAAGTGAAAGGAAGAAAATCAGTCAAGAGATGGACAGAACAGCTGTTTCTTGTGACATTTTGTTACATAGTTCATCAAACTGTTCCAGCACACACTCATTTGACACTTGTAATTTCAGACAATGACTCATCTTTACTAACAGGCTGTGCATTTCACCAAAGTTCTACATGACATGGAGTGAGGTAACAAAAGCATTTATTTAGCTTCTCCATGAATTATTAACTTATCTTATTGTTACCTCTGTAACTCAAACAACCTAGTACACTCACTTCTGCAGTTTCAACAATATTATCATGACCTACCCTATGAAGAAGCAGTGTCATTCCAGGTTTTCAACTCTGCCACTCCTCCTCAGTCTCAGTATTTTGTATTACTTTATTTGGGGTTTATTTTTCCTTTTTAAATTATTTCTTAACAGTCAGGTCTTGAAAGACTCCAAGGAAGGAGCCTGCTCAGTTGTCTCACTAGGCTCCTGCTCCACACTGCCTGTCCATCCTCACGGGGAAAATATTTTTCCCTTATAACCAGTTCAAACCTCCCTTATTCCAACGTGCACCCACTTTCTCTCATGCTCCCTCTATGCAACACTGTGAGGAGCCTAGCTCTGTCCTCTTGGAAACCTCCTTGGAAGCACTGGTTATGTCCCCTGAAGCTGCCTCTTCTCCTGACTGAACAAGTCCCATTCCCTCAGCCTGTCTTCACAGGGCAAGTGCTCCAGACCCTGACCATCTTGGCTGCCCTTCACTGAATTTGCTCCAGTTTATTGATGTTTGTCCTGTATTTGGGGACAGGGTCAGAGACCAACACTTGGATACTATGTAGACATGTGGTCCAACAAGTAGTGAGTAGTGGGGGATAATTGATTCTCTTGATCTACCGGCCATGCTCTGCTCATACAGCCCAGGACACTGTTGGCCTGCCTT